AAGTCTTGCACGGGCCAAAAGCCCTATGCGTTAGGCCAAGTCTGCGGGTCATTCAAAATTATAATTTCATAATTTTTTTAATCATATTCAATACATTAAAAAATATTTTAACAAATAAATATTTTACACTTTCTTAACATATTTTATACAAATTATAAAATTTTTATAATTTAATTTTTTTAATAAAGTAGTATTTGTACACAAATATATAAGTGAAAATATAAACAAAATTTTAATATAAGCGAAAATTTAGTTATTACCTTTACTACATTCATTATTAAAGGATGTCATCAAATAAAGATTTTTTCACCAGTAGTCATAACAGAATACAACAACTCTAGTGAAAAATTAAAAATAACAATGGAAAAATGATCTTAATACCAGTATTAAATAACTGCTCTTATTATGCTATATATTTGAAAGTAAAACCAGTGCAAAAAACTTTTTAGTTATTATTATCCACAAAATTACTAAGGTACATTGTACACAATATGTTTCAATATAAAGTTGGATATATAACATACTTAGATGTCAATAGAAAATTTTATTTTTATTGATGCGTGGATAAAATTTTCTGTTGAAATATAAGAGTGCTAAAAAATACAAATATATCGAGTGCAGAGGACCATGTTTAGGAAATATACAAAACATCACACTATATAGTATTGTCATGTTTAGTATTATCATACACGGAAGACCATGTCATACATAAAACATCATTGTAACAGATATATACTATTGTCATATACACAAAACATTCTTATATAGTATTGTCATTCCTAAAATCAATGCCTATTACTCCCTACTTAGGAGGCTTCGGAGAGCCCCCACTTTCGGAGGAACTAACCTTCTATGCAAATCTGAAATAAGAAAAAGAAATTGTTAACTAGAAAGAACATAAATATGTAGAACATAGAAAGAACACAAATCTTACCCCGCAGCACAGTAGGAGAATACTCGTTGTGATGCTATTGCAGATCTGGTCCAAAGTCTCAGTAGGTGGGATTCCACCGTCGTCTCAGCAGCTGGATTCTCCACCGTCATTTCAGGTTTATCCACTGATTCTTCCCCAAGTAGATGAAAAACCTTGATATGAACCACAAACCAAGTGAAATTGGTACTTTCGGAGGCGATGGAGGAGCCGAGGGAGAAGGAGGAGGCTGAGAGCTAGGACGCATTGGCATTGGTAAGGGAGGGATGCCCCTAATTGAGCCAGGTAAGCGAGCCATGATTTTTGGGTATAATAAGGGCGAGAAGAGAATGGGGAATATCAGTTACCTCAGTCAACCATGATTTTTGGCGCGTATGAAATTGTGAAGTGAAAAAATCTTCATCGATTTTGTAATTTTGTAATTTTTTTATTTTTTTTTGGTATCCTGTTTGGGAATGCCAGGCTAAGAAATACAACGATTGGGTATCCTGTTTGTAATTTTGTAATTTTAAAAACAAGAAAACATGTTCTGATTTTCTGTTATCACAAAATGGTTTTTAATTTATGTTTTCCATTACTTCATCATAAATAAAAAGTTTATTGTTATAAAAAAAATGTTTATTAATTTCCTTAGCATTGTATAGGGTAGAGCTGTTGTTCCGTGATTCGTGAATGGTGATGGAGAATATTAAAAGCTGGCCTAACATTTGGTTTTTCGTTTTTTTTTTTTTAAATAAGAAACCAAAAACAAATTAACACCCAAATATATATATGAAATTGGACATCCAAATATAAATTAATGGTGATGTAAGAATGCATCGAGATGAAAGCTAAGAAAATAATAATCCTTGATTTGTATCTGAGATCAATACAATCAGCTTTAATCGGTTTTGTAGTGCTTTTTTTAAATAAAATAAAATTCCAACCACTTTTTTGTTCATCCAAGATTAATGCCATGACACTCCACAGTCCAACCGGTCTAATTTGGATTGGTTTTTAAAATATTGCTTCATATTTTCATTCATCCACATACTTAAGTTAAGGTGATGAAAATTTTAATAAAAAAGTAGTATAAATGCTGACAATTAACATATAAAAGAAGGAAGTATTATTCTTCAGTTTATTTTGGTAAATCCAATTATTACATAAGGATTGGGCCTTCCTTTGTTTCTCAGATTTTTCATACCTTTCGTAAAAACTAAATTGCCTTGTTTAACTTTTATTGTTTCATTGCCTTTTTCTTTGCAATGAGGAAGCCCAGTACATATGTGAAATTTTTATGCATTTGATATTAGCGCAAGAGTATTTTATTTTCTCTAATAGGAAGATTTTAAATTTTTTTATATTAATAATTTAAAACTGGAAATAAATTAAAAACATATATTCAGAAATTAAAAAAGAAAAAGAAAAAATTATATCAGGTAGATACCCATTCAACAATATAGAGTAAATAATTTTAGCTTTATTATTTCTTGCCTGTGTTCATGTTATGCTAGGATTTCTTTCCCCTTCTTTTCATGATCTTAATATATTTGGTCCATTTGATTATTTTCTTTCCGCATGTTATGCTCTATCAACTCCAATAAAGGGTACAGCTTCCTAATGCTTTTAAAAAACTTCAAGGAAATAAAATCAGTTATAACTTTTGGCCAAATAATTAGTATTTCATGGAAATGGATCCTCTAATTTGCCAAAAAAACATGATATGGTCTTGTGGGAAGATCACAACCATACAAAGGTAAATCAACGGTTATGATTTCGTAACTACCTATTTTATCATTTTTTTTTCTCCTCCTTTTTTACCATTGATCCACCTTTGTATGGTTATGATTCCCCACATTACATGGTCATGTGAATTTTCACATTAGAGGATCCAGATCCGTATTTCATCTAACTACGTACTACTACTACTACCAAAAAAAAAAAAAACCCTTATATATTCGAGCACTAGGTGATACTGGAAGACTTTTTTGGCTTTATTTCTTCGTCGTAGCTTGCATAGCATTCTGAATGTTTTATTGTATATCACAATTAATATTTCTCGTCGAGTTCAAGATTGTAGAATCACTCATGATAACAGCAGGAAATCATCAAACAGTGAAACCGTTAAATTTGATCTCCTCGATTGTATTGTTAGCTCGATTTGAGATCCAGAGATGAAGGTTTTCCAGTATGCTAGCTACTTGAACATACATAAAAAGATATGAAAATCATTTGCAAATGATTTTGAATCCTAAATTTTTACATATAGCATTTTTAAGATGCTTCCAAAGCCATGCTTGAAATTTAGGCACTTACCAAAAGCGAGAGATTCTTGATAGAAACTTCGTAACTTATGCATGTAAATCTGCCTTAATTAATTTAACATGTATAAAGTTGCATGAGCCATTAAAAACACATATATTTCTATTAGTTAAACTTCATATATGTCAAAGATTGATTTGCATGGCCCCCGCATATCTTTATTTACATGGAATATTAATATTTGTTGTGCAGATCTTATTTATACAAGTTGGTTAGACTAATTAGCTAATCAACAACTAACACATTAATTATCACTTTGTAATAAGTAGTTATATAAATATTTGTGCCATGTACGTATTACTTTGTCTATTATTAATTGACAAGGTCTACATAACTAAGTTAGGTAGACTGAACCAATTAATAACTAACAATTTATCACTTTATATTAAATATATAGTTATATAAATATTTCTGTCAGTAGTGTTTTGTCTGTTATCATTTTACTTAATCTACCCAATTTATATAGGGTACACAAATTGTTCCTCATTGACATAGGTATATGTGTATTTTTAACATGATTTACACAACTTTGCCCAAAGGTTGATTACATGCCTAAACATGAAGTTTTTCACCGAAGAATTTATCATAAATATACTGTGAAGAAAATGCAGCGAAAATGTTGGTATCAAACTTCTATCAATTTTTTTTGGATAAAAGTTTATATGAATTGCCCATTAACTAAGCAGGCGCTTGATAAAGATCAACGTAAAACCTTCAATAAGTATCAGCTACTGCAAAATTAGATATTGTAAATGTTAAAAACTAATTTTGAATTACAAAAATATGGGGTAATAATTTCAAAATATGGCAAGGCTCTTCTGCTATTTCGTATTTTGTATTGTCATATAGCTAGTATGCAATGTACTTTTAAAAAGCTTGTGCAGCATTTCAATAAGCACTAAAGAAATACAATAAAAGAAGTTTTACCAAATAAATTTGAAATATTTCCTTTACAAGCACCAGAACCAATTCGTCTGCAGTTGTAGTTGCAACTTCTGAAAGTTTGGCATCATTTGTAAATAAGATAGTGTCATATATAATTCATAATGGGTATATGAGATGATGTTAATTTGTGTTAATTAGGCGGGTTAGGAAGAATGTATGGTGGGGGATTATTATTTATGGGCTAAATTATATTAATCACACAATAAGCGAGAGCTTAATACTACGTCTTAACTTAAAACCGCGTTAGATTGAGATGTGATGGTAGATTCACTTGTTGTGATTAGTATTATTTAACTAATTGATGATTGTTCCCGTGGCATAGGCTCCCTTTTACCCGCTAATTTATGGTTATTTCAATGCCATAAGCTTTGCCTGACCTGTTTTGTTTGATAATGATATCAAAGTTGTGCTTGGCTCGAGTTGGTTGGATGTTTACGAGAGGCTCGAGAGAGAAATGGATTGTTGGAATATTCAAATATGAAATCTCTAATTATGGGTTAATCGAAGATCATATAAATAGATAAATTCATAAAATCAATATCTTAAAATTTTGGATTTAAACATGATGTGGGCCCACTTATTCATATTTGTGTATTTAGCCCAGTAGTGGTGCTTCCAGATTACCGTGACACCTTGTTTTTTTACACCTATTAGAAAAGTAAAATCAACTGAATGAAGTGCAACAGCAAAGGAGTTGTGTTATTGTTCTTAATTATTGTCATTAAACTTACCCGTGATGATGAAATTTGGAGAAATAGTAAGTACGGATAGAAGTCTTTTTTAAAAAAAAGGGGGCAATGACAAGCATATTTAAGCACCAAGAAATATTCATTGCAGGCATAGCTAAGAGCAGTAATAATTGAAATTACATTATAGTTGCTGAAATGGAAAAGAAAGTCGTTATTACACACACACATGCACAGGCATAGAGCCTTTATTTTTAAGAACTACTGCAGAAGGGTAGACTTCACATCTTAAAAGAAAATCAAAATATTCTTAGTACCAAAAAGATGCAACGTTCGTTCATCACTGGTTATTAATTCTTGGATGGCGGATAGTGACCATAAGGTGGGGGGTTGTAGCCCGGTGGCTTCTCCAATGGTGGTGGCTCGTAAACTGGTGGTTTCTCATAAGGAGGTTTGTGAATGGGTGGCTTCAAATAAGGAGGAGGCTGGTACACTGGTGGTGGATACAATGGGGGTGGCTTCTCATAAGGTGGTGGGTACACTGGTGGTGGTTTCTCATGAGGAGGCTGATACTCTGGTGGGGGTTTCTCATGAGGTGGTTTCTCATGGGGTGGCTTCTCATATGGTGGTTTCTCATGAGGAGGTGGGTACTCTGGTGGTGGTGGCTTCTCATGAGGAGGCTGGTACTCTGGTGGTGGAGGCTTCTCATATGGTGGTTTCTCGTGCGGTGGTTTCTCATGTGGAGGCTGGTATTCAGGTGGTGGTGGTTTCTCATGAGGAGGCTGGTATTCAGGCGGCGGTGGCTTCTCATGTGGAGGCTCATACACTGGTGGTGGCTTCTCATGTGGAGGCTCGTATACCGGTGGTGGCTTCTCGTGAGGAGGGTGATACACTGGTGGTGGGTAGGTTGGAGGCTTATAAACTGGTGGTGGTTTTTCAGTTGGTGGAGGCTCATAGGTGGGTGGAGGTTCATATGTGGGAGGTTTTTCAGTTGGGGGAGGCTCATAAGTGGGTGGCTTGTAGTAATTTGCCGACACTGGAGTGGTGATTAGAATCACCACCACTCCAAGAAGGAGCAGAACTAGTGAGTGTATAGAAGACATGTCTCAGGCTTGGTGATGGAGAAAATTGGAAACAAGAAGCAATGATTTATAGGGGGAGAGACAAGGGAAATTTTTCTGTCGAGGTTGTCAATCATTCTCATGTTATTTTATTATACATATAATATTAAATTCTCTTGGTGAAGTCAAAATGTTAGGTGTGATTTGTGAATCTGGTATCGTGGAATAAGTATCCCGGAGTGAATTTTCCGCCTTATTATGTCATTTTTCGGGCAATGGAATTAATTATTGTGCAAAATGCACTCACTTTTGAGTCTTCCGTGCAGAAATTCAGCTAATGACTCTGAAACTAAAAACAGAAATATTGCAGACGAATATGATCTAAAATGATACGCAAATATCAAAGTTGAATTTGCATCCCATAGAGAGTTGGAAATTAAGGTGAATGCTACCCAATGTAAAGGTTACTAAAAACTTGAGAAACCGAGTATTTTTATCTTCATTGACAACAAAGAATTTGCTTGATAAATTATGTGTTGAACACTTGGTACCTGCCAGCTGCCAACTCCGATGTTTGCGTTTGCAAAAACTTTTTATTTTTTATTTTGGAAACGTTGCGTTTGCAATTTATGGTATGTGAGGAAATATCACTTTTTTTAAAAAAAAATAAATAATAATAATTATCAAACAAAATTTAAATATAAGTTAAACACATACTTAATATAAAGGGAAAATATTATTATAATAAAAATATACATTTTTGACGCATATAAAGTAAAATTAAAAATTATTCACTGACTTAATTATTTGACGAATTATTTATTTATTTAATAAAAAAAATATCCAGGCGTGCCAGTTTTTTGTACAACTCGCGTATATATGGGAATGTATGGCTAGGATGTGCATCTTTTTGTAATAAATGAATAAATAATTTAACAAAAAAATTAAACTGATAAATAGTTACACAATTCCCCTTATATGGGTCAAAAAACTGAAAAACATTTACAATTTAATCTAGGTTTTTACGTGAGGAACCCAATATATGGATTTTGTGTGCATTCATCGCCAACACACCATTTGTTCTACTGAAAATCCTTGAATGTTAGGGGGCTGGCACGATGACATATACTTCGATGGGTTGGTCCGTCATCGTTTATCATTGGCAAGCTTTCACGAAGTCCATCCGATGAAGCTGCTATAACGTCGTCCTCTGTTTTTTTAATGCGAATATCAGTCTTTGTCGTGCTCTATTTCAGGCAAAGTTTCTGGCTTTCTTTTTCTACCCTGCAATTTCTCATTAATCTCATTGGATTTTTTTCAAATGATTTTCTTGTTGGGTCTTTGGGTTTTGAGTGTGATTCAAACTTGATGTATCCTGTTTTTATCTTTTGTCTCCTTAACTGAATAATGATAATTTAATAAATGAAATTCTTTTAAATAATAATATAAGAGCAAAATCAACCCAAAAATTTAAACTGTCTATCATTTTTTTCTGCCTACCTTTGTCTATCATTTTAAAATACCATTAGATTAGAATCTTAACTAACATTTATCTTTATCTCTCTAATGGAGATTCTGATCTAACAGTGTTTTAAAGTGGTAGACAAAGGTAAGCAGAAAAAATGGTAGGTAGAATAACATATCCCTTCTCTAATGGGATAGGTTATTCTACTTATCATTTTCTGCTTACTTTTGTCTATCACTTTAAAATACCATTAGATCAGAATCTTAACTAACATTTATCTTTCCCTCTCTTCTTGAGATTCTGATCTAACAGTGTTTTAAAGTGGTAGACAAAGATAAACACAAAAAATAATAAGTAGAATAATATATCCCTTCTCTAATATATCTTCTCACACGGCAACTCATTGAACTTAAAGGGTGTCAAAGACACACCTACCTTTTTACAAGAGAAAATGGGGTGAAGACACTCTGAATCTGATATCATATAAAAATTAATTTAATCTAAAAATTTAAACTGTTCGGTGAAGAATTTTTAAAAAATCTTTAATAATTTATATTATTCTCGGATAAATATTACTTCCTTTCATAATTGTTCTTTGTCAGTTTCTTTTTACGAAACTGTCATTATTTAATCAGAGGACAGAATGATACCAAAAAAAAGGAATAATAGATTTGATCCATTTGGTTGGTGCTTTTGGAATAGAGATATGTTTCATTGATGGGAAAATCAAAGTTCAATTTTTTTATTTTTAGATTTAAGTTTACAAAGATAGGAAGAACGCGTTTGATTTAATTTTGTGGTTAATTTAAAATAGAATTTTATACTACTAGTTCAGCAGTGGAAGCTTCCCTCCTCCAAAAGAAGCTGTAGTAGACATATATAGATGAGGGGTGTTTCGAGTAGCTTTCCTGTTTACTGTATGGAGCCTAGGGTTGTGGTCCTTGTGGACCTATGAAACCGTGTGCTATCTGTAATTGAAAAAAAAAAAATCGAAATTTAGTAAGTAGATAAGTATGAAGATGGAGTCACTACAATTTGGTATATCAATTCTATTATTGAATTGATATTTACGATTAAAATAGTAAATCAAGAAATGAATCAAATTTCAACTGAAGGTTGTGGTCCCTATTTATTTCATAATATTTTAGCATAGCGGTATTGATTTTATTCATTATAAAAAAATTTAATTCCGTTAATATTTTGTTATGCTTATTATATTAGTGCTGTTAGCGAATGATATATTTTATAAAAAAAAAAAGGATAGTTTCCAATAAATGAAAGACTTCTTCTTAAATAAATTAAGAAAATTATAAATATTTTAAATCATGAATGGACAATATTTCTCTTCTTTCCGCACCGCGATCATCGTCACCAGTATATATTTATGATTCTTGTAAGGGTTCGATTTTTATACAGCAGATAAGTTATCTGTAGTAAGTTCAATACGACATCGTTTTAAAATAAAAATCATGATGTTTTTATAATTTTAATTTATTTCAGAATTATCATAGTCTTTATATTTAAAATTTCAATACTAAAACGACGTCATTTTAACAAAAATGCAAATAATTTATCTGCAGTAACTGCAGAAACATTTTCCCCTTCTTATAAATAGACGAATATTCATGGTTATTTAAGAACTTAAATAAAATTAAAATTACAAAACTAAATAAATTTTAATATCGTATAGTACAATTTTATTTAATAATTTAAAGAAAAAAGTGTTTGTCATTTTAAATGACAGAAAATTATGTCATTTTAAGATAGATACAGACACAGAAAATTTGAATTTTAAATTAAAAAAAATTACTCACTTTCTCTCTTCCATGATTTCTATTTTTATATGTCTATCTCTCTCTTAAAATGACATAACTTATGTCATTTCAAATGACAAACACCAAACCTTAATTTAAAATTCTATAAATTTAAAAAAGGGAAAAATATATATCCTTTTAAAGGATATAAGCTTATGTCATTTTAGATCCTAACCGTTGATTTCCGTCCATCAACGGTTATAATCTATTGAGCCAATAAATTATAACTGTTGATGGACGAAAATCAACGGTTAAAATCTAAAATGATATAAACTTTTATCCTTTAAAATGACAGATGTTATTCCCTTTAAAAAATATCTCAAATAACTTATCAAATATAGTAATATATATTTGTAATAATTAATTTACATAAATAATTATAAGATAAAACTGTTTATATTTATCACTTATTTTTATGATTGTGAAATTTATGAATTTATAATACCCGCAAGGTAGGCTCTCCCCGTTTGTGAATTGGATTATTTTGTTCTGCTGCTTCGCGAGTAATCCCTATCTTGTTATATCGGGTAAGTTCAATAATATGACATCATTGGATGTACCGTAAAAGCTACCTCACTTAACACATCACGAGAACCTGGTGTAATAGAGAAGGAAAAAAAAAATGAAGATAGAAAAGTGTTTTGGATGGAAAGAAAAAGTGGATATATTATTGGCAGAAAAAAATGGAGAAAACCCGGAAAGTGGAGTGAGAGAACTCGTGGGATATGTGCATGTGCATCCGAGGGTGCAAGACCACCCCACAACGGCAAAAATGAAAAGTAGATCAACTTTTTCAAGAAAACCGAGGGAGAAAGTAGAAGGAAAAGAGGGAAAGTGTAACGAGATTAATGAGAGTTTTGATATCGTGGGAACAAAAATAAAGACAGAAAATTAAAATTGATAAAATTATGAAAAATGCATGATATTGACTTAGTAGTACATGGATCATATACTTAGGTAATTAATCACTATCTAATTAAACTAATCATTAAGTAACTACCTATACTTCAACATTTTTTTCTTGGGAACTTTATCATTCTTTGTAATGTATTTTTATTTTTAGCATTCATTGGGGTCGGGGCCAAATGCCCAAAGCAGCAAAAGAAACAAAGAAAACAACTAGTGCTGGTTTTAAGAAATTGTAATTTGAGTAATGAGATAAAAAAATAAATAAAGTTTAACATGCATAGAAGAGAGACAGATAGAATTACATAATAAAAATAAAAGAAACATTATTTGACTTCAAGAGATGTTTCTTTGTCCGTTCATACTTTAACTGGATAGAAAAAGAAAAAGAATATGTTACTCACACTGTCACCCAATCAATTTTTTCGAGAACTTAAGAATATTTTTATTATATTTCTTAATACGTGTCTTTCAATAATTTTTTTATTTTTTATTTTTGGTTCAAATTGTAGATAGTGAACAGATCCTTTTTTGGGTTATTTTGTTCTTAAATTTAACTTTTTATTTGATAAATAAGGATGAAAACAATTGAACACCAAAGCACTTGATCCTATACTCTTGTATTATTGTATTTTGATCCTTATAGACTATAGTCCCCACTTTCTAGTGGAATTAGAATAAGTATAATATAAATAAAAAATTGAATCTGTGTAATATTCATATTTCAAATCCTCACATAATACATTAAGATTTTGAGTTTAAGTGATTTTTTACATGGTATCAGAGATATTCAGTGATCATAAGGTTACAAGTTCAAACCTCATAATCATTAAAAGGATCCTCACCTAATAAAAAAAAGAAGTGAGAGA